TCCAAGCATTTCAAAGCCACACACCGCATATACGAGGCACGCGGCCCGACGCGGCGAAGTGTCTTATTGCACCACATCGCCGCGTCACTTATAACTTGAGCACAATCACTTTCCCTATCCAAATTTCCGTTGGAGGAGTGTTCTATGACTGAGATACCCAGTTTTTGGGCAAGAAATCCCACTCCAAATTTTTATTCGGACCCAACTTCGCGATCTCAAGCACTGACCGAATAGTAAATTTCTGGAGAACTACTGAACCAATTGCCCAGAGTCCAATGATTTATTGAACAGGACCCATGGGAGCACTAGGCCTGGTACTGGTTGCCGCACCACTTATGCTCAAAAAGGCCGTTTCACAGTCGGTTGAACTGCCTGTCCTTGCACAGCCACCGTGCAGCCACTGTTGAACTCAACCGCAATTCGCTCTGAGTTATTTAGTGGGGCAAAATCTGCTCTGGACAATGCCACTGCCCCGTTGGCTCGTAAAATAGGTCCTTTCGAATCAAAATATGACATCTAGAAGCCGCATGACGCGACGCGGCGAAGTGTCTCATCAGACACTTCGCCGCGTCACCTATAATTGTTGTATAACCACTCCTCTCATCTAAATTCTGGTTGGGAGAATGTTCTAGGGCTTTGTTACGTTGCTTTCAGGCAGAAAATCCCGACCCAAAATCTCATCGAGTACCTAAGTTACAATCCCAGGAATCGGCCGAATAGCAGAATTCTGACGAACTACTGGACCGATTGCCCGGAGTCCAATGACTTGTTGAACAGATCGCAAGGACGCACTAGGCCTGGTACTTGTTATTACACCACTCATGCTTAGAAAGCCCTTCTCACGTTGGTTGAACCAGCTGTCCCAGCACCGCCACTGTGTAGCCGTTTAACTCCAAGACCACTGTAAGCTATCTTACGGGCCAAACATCGGGATGTACAAAGCCACGAATGCATTGACCCGTAAACTGGGCGGACGTTTATAACTTTGCACCCCATGAAGACGTTTGCGAAGTCTCTCGTCCCACATCGGCCGAATACGAGAGCACAACAATTTCTTGAAAGGATCAAGAAGGCCCCCGAAATGGAGTAACACTTGCCGTGGGCACAATTTGAACAGTGAATGGTGCTCGAGAGGTTTGCCTGAGTCTCTTGAAGACACCGAATGCGCTGTTTAGCCTGAATGTGAGGGCCTTCTGAGGGTGAATTCTGCGCGGCAACTACAACGCCTATTGTTCAAGAACCCATTTGGCTCATGAAAATTGGTGCAGTCATTGTTCAGAAATGTCCTATTGGGACGACGAGGGAAGTTATAGATGACGCCGCGATGGGACATACACCGTCCTTTGCTAGCCTGGGCCCAATTTCCAAGTCAAATTCACAATAGCTTCAGTCAGAACAAGTTGTGGCCAATAATCCCACCCGGGAGGGTATCTGCAACGACTGCTTATCTTAGCAATACGGCGCCACTTGCTCAAGTTGAGCACCGGCCAATGATGACCCAAGTTGGGTCATCATTTCAACAGACCCGATTTGCGGAGATACTCGACGGACAGGTACCTTAGAAATTTCCAAATACGATTCCCACTCAATGCAAATGTCCGTTGATATCAGAGTGTCCAGTTTAACCGCGAGTATTGTGCCTGTGCTGGTGTGGCTGTAAACAGAACCACACGGTACACCCATATCTAACGTCGCCCGCGACGGTTAAGTCTTCGGACGTTCAAATACACATAGCAGGTTCCACGCTTCTTGAGCCGAAATCACCTATGGCACCTGGCTCGATGTGGGTGAGTACAACTTGGTTGAAGTAGCTTCTCAAGGTACTGAGATCTTCTCGCAATGAAAACTCATTCCAGTCACTGTATCATTGTATTTTGCCTGTGATGATCCTTCAGGGAGCTTGGCTGTACACATCTATCCTCGGTGGGTCAGTTCAACATTCTGGTCTCCCGTCCTTTTTGTGCATTGACGAGACAGTCAAAATATGATGAACTGAAAGTATGCGTGGTATTTAGGATCGACAATTGTAATTAGAGCCGGCTGCAATTTCTTAAGCAATTGACCCGCCGCGGAAATTGTTCATCCGTCGCTGCTAAGTAGCTACTAAGGAAATCGGAATAAGGAATGCCGCTAAGAACGAGCTCCGGTGTTGAGCCAGATATCGAACCGTGAGAAGGTGGCGATAAATTGGAAGTTGTGATGAGCAAGGTTCATATCGTACAAGCGCTCAACTGAGCAATGAAACCGTAAGTATATGATTAGTGGAATAATAACGCGGACTGACAAAATAGTAGCAACTGGATCTAGCACCGGCGGGTACGATGATGGCGAGCGGAGTTTGGGGGGGCCCAGACACGACAGTTCACCCTCTACAGGCACAGTGAGCAACTGAAACCAGTCTACCCACACATCGGGGTGTATATACATTGTGGACTAATTTGATACGGCTTGGGCGGCGGCGGTCCTATCTGTTTGAACATTGGTTGAAATCTGTTGTGCCCGGCGATGGGCGCCGCGGTAATGGGCGACGGGCGCGTCGGTAATGTGAGACAGTGGTGGTAGAAATTGTGCCGCGGCAGTGTGCGGCGATGGATAACATCCACGCGGCGACCTCACGCGGCGACGCGGCGATGTGGTATTGGGTCGCAGCGGTGCTACGAAGTGACGCGGCGCGCCGCGGCGCCAAAGCGGCGGACGCGGCGAATTAGCCTAGCCCGCCCAAAAGGTTTGGCCGACTTGGCCGCTTTGACCGGGTTTGACCGGTCTTGACCGTTTTTGGCCGTTTTTTTTGACCGTGTCTGTAAAGCACTTTTCTTGCGCCCAGGAGTGTTTCTGACTCACCCAGGATACTTCAAATGATCCTACATTGATGCTACCTTGATGCTATGCTGTGCCCTAGGTGTCCTGGCCTATGGTGCCGTCTTTGCTCAACACGCTTTCACGAGACATAAATAGGACCAACAATTGCTTGTTATGAGGACTTTATGAGAGTTGTTAGGAAGTGTGTGTGGTCCATTTGGCTTTCATAACATCCACTCTGTCACTGCCTTGACTCGGATAACCTCATCTGAATTTTCAGGAGGCCGCATTCAACTTTCTTTTGGCTATGGTGTGATGGAGTTTCTGGCTTGTGTGCGCTGTATACTAGGAACCAAGCAGTCAATTGAACACAGAATTTGCCTTTTCACTTTGCCAATTGACTCGGCACTTAGTTGTAGCACAGAGTTCATTGCGGTCAATTTCAAAACTAGATCTACACTGGCATGAAAGAGACGCAATTGTGAGTGAGTTTGCAGTGTCGAGAATTATCCTGGAGGCTGCGAGCAAAGAATGAAAGGATGTCTTTATACTGTTGAAATTTTGGAACACGACCTCAGGAGGAACATGGTCAGAATAGACCTGAGGCAGCAGTATGGGATTTGAGTCTCACAATAGACATACACCGCCTATTTCTCAAATTTTTATGATTACCATGCGGGTTGAGGTTGAGGAAGGGCAGGCCCAACTACGAGTTCACTACGACTCGGACACCGTTTCACACTCGATTTATTGACCAGGTTTGATGCCTTATTCGCGCCAAATGACATTGAGGAAGTTGAGGCAGTAGGGTACTCACTGTGCATTCCTTAGCAGTCCAGTCTTGAGGCGAGTTCCACGTTCAAATTGTGTTCAAAGATGATCTGCAACACTGTAAAGGACATCTGGTTCTCACTTGGCTGGAGGCTTGATTATGCGAATCATTGATCTATATAATAGACAGACAGCTGTATTCCTACCGTCTGTGCATTGGCGCACATTTTTGGATGGGTTCCGATGGTTTTACGGATGGTTGTCCAAAAAAGGAAACTGGGTTGACGAAACGGCCAACCGGGGGTCAAACGGCCATGACGTTCGGCCAACCCCGGCCAACCCCGGCCAAACCCGGTCAAGCCCCACACTGACATACTCTGCCTCACGTATCGTGAAAGGGTCGGTATTGTCGATTTATTGCACACGTTATGTTGAATTTCGGCCATCTCGGGCAAGGGTTGAAGTTTCGTTGGATCCCGACTCAAGGTAGATGTGTTGACTGAAATATGTTCCCTGGTCTGCAGAGCTAATGCGCCTCATATGTTGGAGAAGATAGAGGTATTGCGGATTTGTTGCTGACGTTTTGACTTTCGGGCATCTCGGGCACGTCTCGACACTGCGATGCAGCGGCAAATGAGAATTGAGATGTGTTTGAACTCCGGCCCAAGCTGAGAGCGTATCCCAGATTAACTGCGGCCTTTTTATTTACCTATTGAGAGGAATCCCCGGCCTTTTGCTCACCACTGAAGGTCATTAATTGGACTGTAACACACCGACAACTTCAAACTCTCTCGCCATACGGTAAATGCAGTAGAATTGAACCACCCAAATACCCAATAGGCCCTGGCATATAAATTCAAGTCCCCGACAAGTCCGCCTATAAGAAAAGTTCAACCACAAAGGTTCAGGAAGTTCGACATGGATTCAACCACCCGACAATCAAGCCCACCCTGTAGAAGGAGCAGCCAGCCAACAACGTTGGGAAATAATCACTGAGGCCTTTTGTTGCTTTGGTTGTTTCGTCCCCCAGACCGGATTAAGGAATGGACATTTCGTACTCCGAAAGTGAGTCAAGTAGCTGCCTGAGGTTAACCATGATCAAGTAGCGGTGCGCTTAAGCTGCCCGAACACAAGTTTAGCCCACTGATCACGTGTCCGAAATAAGATCAGATGATTCAACGCCTCGGGCCCAAATAGGAAGTTTCTTTGAATACGAGCCATACAGACTGCCCCGGGAGACTCTATGTGCCTGCGGCACGTAGGATAGCTTCGGTGGACATAAAAGTGCCTTGGCAACCCCGAAACTACACAAGATTTTCAATTTAACGGAATATAATGGAACCAAACCAGATTTTGGATACCTGAGCTCTCCACTGGGTCCCTGGAGCAAAAATAAGACTTCAGGGTGGTAGCCACACGGCGCAAAAGAGTGGACAGGTTGGGAATCGAACCCAAGACCTCTCGCAGAGCATTACGTTCCCAACCCGTCGGACAACGAAGTGCGAAGCAAGCGCAATAACCCCTATACTACATGCCCATGTAGCAAGCTTATTAGTCTGTCTCAGACTTCAAGACCTGGAGTATTGATAGTCCAGTTTCTTGTCTTTTCCCCATATGGACACCTACTTAATCCGGGGGCACGATAGCATGAGCCTCACGCCTTTGGAAGTAAATGATGGGAGCCCTCGTCCGGTTCCGGGCGATTCCAACGCGCGACACCGGCTTTCTTTCTCTCTTTTTTTTTTGTGATTGTATCGCTAGTGAGTCAATCGGCAACACATTATAGTTCAACCTCGTAAGACGGCTCAGCCTTTATTTCCTGGTTCAATCAAACGCGGCTACTCAACCCACGCTTCCTTTGTTAATACTCAGCGAGACACTTGTTTGACTCTTTCCTGAACCAGTCGGTTACTGCGACAAATGATGCGCAGGATGTTTCAACGCGCTAAGCTAGGCTAAGCCTAATGGACTTCAATTTGAACGTTGAGTCAACATGGTTGAACCGCCACTGATGGGCTCTCATTAACTGAAAGGAGATGATCGTCAGTGGCTCAACCATTTCGGGTTTAGAGCAGGATTGGAGACATCCTCAGATCGCAATCAATACGGCTCGTACTTATAAATCCATCTGCGAGCAGAGCAGTACAATTTTAATGATGCTCGAACCCGAATTGAACCGCCCCATAACGCCCATTGACAGCGCGCTCCTGCCCAAATCGATTGAGCACGTTGCGGAATGCCGGAACCTTGACTCAGTCTCGGGCTCTTCAATTTGTTAAAGTGTCCAGCCGTTTGGACTCTCCCTTTTCACCTTCAGCCGATCGCTAATCGCAAGGTACAACTTTCCCTCGCGCTCTGGCCTGTGACGGCAAAGTCCTAGTCACTCTACACAGACTACCATTGGCAGCGAAATCGGCGAGCAAAATTTAATTTCGACCATCGCAGTACCTACATAGTGGGACTGCTGCATAAATTCGACCACCCAAGAGAGTATGCAACCACCCGATAGCATATGGTGTGCAACTGCTCATCTGTACAGGACGGAACGAATACCTAAAGCAGAAGGCCCGTTCGATTCGGGGTCGGGGGATTGTTTGGGGGCGAATTTGGATTTTTGTTGGTTCCTTTATCTTCCGTTCGCTGCCAAGATCCAAGCCGTATAGCTATGGGCAATGGGGTCCCTGCCCTTGGATCTTCAGATACTTTGTAATTACCTGCCGGGGGTAAATCGAATTGATCTTCAATCGAAGTTCAAGAACGTTTCGGAAGTGCATCATAAGTTCAACCCCCCAATAAAGTAGGCAGCCACCCGATAGCACATAGTGTGCCCCTGCCGCATCTTATCCGTCGATAATAGATACACCATGAGTGCAGGAGGCCCGTTCGATTCGGGGTCGGGTGATGCTTGGTAGGTGCAACTCTCGTTTTCTTCTTTCTTTCCTTTCTCGCGGCCTCCTTCCTTTTTTCAGATGGCTCACATCACAGGAAGGGCCTATTTTCTATTCCTTAATTTTACTGCTCCGTGGCCGGTGGCTCAGCGCTCACGAAGTCCTCGAAATCGTGCAGATTAAATCGGTGTGGACGAACGTTCAACTACAAGCAGCTTCGGACCTACAGCATAAAGTCAACCATTCAAGAAAGTAAGCAGCCACCCGATAGCACATGGTGTGCACCTGTCCACCGTAGTTGGTTAAGGGAAACATGCATGCAGGAAGGCCCGTTCGATTCGGGGTCGGGTGATGTTAGTTGATGAATGTCTTTTTCCTCCCTCCTTTGTACATGAACTCCGAAATTTGCTGCTAAGATCCAACCCCGGTTATAAGCCCGGAAGTTTCCTTCAGCATTAAGTGCGGCGAGCATGAATATATTGTACTGTACCTGCCGGGGGTAAATTGAATCGATGTCAATCGAAGTTGAACCACAAGCAGCAGCGAACCTACGGTATAAATTCAACCACTCAAGAAGGTAGGCAGCCACGCGATAGCACATAGTGTGCACCTGCCCGGATTGGGTGCAGTCACCGCCATACATCATGAGTGTTGGAGGCCCGTTCGATTCGGGGTTGGGTGATATGGGTACCGTCATCTCTTTTGTACCCTACATGCCCTGGTCGGAATTTGGCTACAAGTTCAACCACAACCAATAAAGTAGGCAGCCACCCGATAGTACATGGCGTGCGCCTGCCGTATCTTACTTAGAGACAGTCGAATCACCATGAGTGCAGGAAGCCCGTTCGATCCGGGGTCGGGTGATGTTCTAAGCGCTGAATGTGTTTTTCTTCCCTCCTTTGTACATGAACTCCGGAATTTGCTCCCAATCCAACCCGTAAGAGCCAAGAGGTATCCGCCTTCACAATCATGTGCTGGGAGCATAAATATACACTGCCGGGACAAATTAAATTGTTGTTCAATCAAAGTTCAATTTAAACCACAAGCAGCTTCGGAACTACAGCATAAATTCAACCGCCCAACCACCTATTCGGCCACGACAGCACATGGTGTGCAGCTGCTCATCTTCATACAGAGCGCACCAAGTGAACGCAGCAGGCCCGTTCGATCCGGGGACGGGTGATTTGGGTTATTGGATGTCATTTCTTTTTTGTCTGCTTGCATAGCCTTTCCCAGCCCAATTCGAATCCCGCAGACCGTGGCGTGCGTGCTTGCGTATAAAGTTGTCGGGGTTTGGATCTCAGCTGGCATTGTGATAGACTCGGATTAATTTTGTGTGGATCAAATTGGCGTGGACCGACGTTCGACGTTCAACCACAAACAGCTTCGGAACTACGGCATAAATTCAACCACCCGATAAAGTAAGCAACCACCCGATAGCACATGGTGTGCGGCTGCTCACCTTGATAAAGGATGTTCCCACCAAGTGAACGCAGTAGGCCCGTTCGATTCGGGGTCGGGTGATACCGTAGTATTTCGATCAAATCGAACCCCGGTGTGACGCGTGACTTGTTTAACCAATTCGAGCTTTCGATGCACTCCGGAAAATAAGATGTTTCGGGGCGTCTAAAAACGTTCCCGATACATTTGGTCTCAGCCGCAAAATCAGCGCGGCCGATACTTTGAGTATCAGAAACAGTATCAGGAGCCGGGCCGCTCCGGTACGGTCCGCCCCGCCCCGCCCCGCCCGGTACGGTCCGGGCCGGCGCCTGATACGGCTTCTGATACTCAAAGTATCGGGCGCGCTGATATTGCGGCTGAAACTAAATGTATCGGGAACGTTTTTAGGCGCCCAGAAATATCTTATTTTCCGGAGTGATGGGCAGCTGAAAGGTGCGTGACACGGATAAAAATTTCGATAATCATCGGAAATGAGACGCCTTCCATAGCAAGAAGTGGAACAATCCCTGAACTCATGTCTGTCCTTGCAATATAATTTTCTTCCAATTTTCTTCTTGCAGGAATTTGGGGCAAGAAATCGGTCCGTGGGGCCATGAACACGGAGAATCAAAGTGATAGTGCAGATTCTGTGTTCTTGATGCCTGAAAATACTCACAAATGTCATACCGGATCTCCTGGCATTCTACGAGCAAATTTTGAACCGTGAGACCAATTCGATATTCGCCTGGGTGACGCGTGACACGGACCAAATTTCGATATCGATAGGGGTCCGCGTGACGCGTGACTATCGATTTGAATGAAATACTACGGTACGGGCAAGTAATGCATGACATCTCTTTTGTACACCCGCATAGGCTTACCCTGCCCGATTCCGAATCCCGCAGACCGTAGCGTACTTAGGCGTGCTCTTGCGTACGGCATTCTCTGGATCTGGATTTCAGCTGGCATTGTGATAGACTCGGATTAATTTTGTGTGGATCAAATTGGCGTGGACGAATGTTCAACGTTCAACCACGAACGGCCACGGAAGTGCACCATAAATATTAATTCAACCACCCACAAAGGGTATTCGGCCACCCGACACCACATGGTGTGCCCCTGCCGCATCTTTGAAGAACGGAACGAATGCCTGAAGCAGGAGGCCCCCCGTTCGATCCGGGGTCGGGTGATACGGGCAAGCTATGCATGTCATTTCTTTTTTGTACACCCGACGCATAGGCTTACCCAGCCCAATTCCGAATCCCGCAGACCATACACTGCAGTCGCGTGAGTGCGAGCTTGCGTGCGAGATTCTCTGGATCTGGATCTCAGCTGGCAGTAGGGTAGGGATTGTGATAGACTAGGATTAATTACCGGCGACTGTGAGACGTGCCATCTTAGCCCTTCCTTCCTACAAGCTTTCTATACAGGCTTTAAGATGCAGCGATGCACCTCACGGATCGCGAGGAGGTAGCTGTTAGGTTGAATGTTGAATTCCGGCCATCTCGGGCGTCTTGGGCACGCCTCTGTACTGCGATGTGGCGGCGAATTGGGGTTGAAATTCAGTAACGTCTACAGCTATATACACACTCTACTTTGCCCTTTCCAGGCGTTTCTGAGACGTCTAGGATGGCGAGGAGGTAGCCGTTAGGTTGAATGTTGAATTCCGGTCATCTCGGGCGCGCCTGCGAATTGGGGTTGGGGTTGGAATTTATTGGGAATCCTGCGCTCCAGTGGCTGCGGCTGCGAAATACCGATCAGGATACAGCCAAGTACGGATAGAAGATATGCCCAATGCCCGCAGATTACGGATGAGCGGTTCAACTACAACCCGGACAACGCTCAAGTTACGGTTCCGAGTGCGACTAAATGAGCGAGCATACATGGATGTCCTCGGAGTCGAACGGCATGCCCAAGTCCGTTCTTCAACGGCGTTGGTGGTGCCGGCGTAACCTAACTGAGCAGGTAAGTAGTAACTTACGGTTGCGAATCGGACGCCCGGTGATTGGGAATCCGCTGTACACTGACTCGATGCGACTCGAAGGCAAGGTTGACTCGTACCCTGACGTTATTCCGGCGGCGTGGAGTCCTCGGGAATCCGAGTCTATATCTATCTTAGACTGCATTGCAACTTGAACAGGTTACAGCTTTGGGTACATTACTCACCGAGGTTACAAGTATGGTTACAGGGTACAGGTATGGATACAGC